TATGCATGCTTATACTTTTCAGAGGTCCGATATTGCACCTTCTCATGTAATATTCTAATTTTCTGAGATTGTGGATTTTGGGATTTCATGAGCTGTAAGCCATTATCAACACAATTATGACAAATCACGGCTTGAACTATCCTGTTTTGCATGTAATGAGTCTATCTCATATATTAGTTTCATCTTTTAAGTTACATTACTGAAATAAATGAACTTTAGCACGATATTCTAAGTTTTCGATTTTCACCTGCATATCATTGGATTCCATTGCGATTGCTTGTTAATACAAATGTATTATTGCTATTAATCTTTTATATCTATTCATTTCTTATGTTCCAAATTATTAGAAACAATAAACCTCTGATCTTAAAGTAAGAATTATTGCTTGTGTTGTTGTCTTTACTTCCTATTGGAATTTTCCTATGACACTAGTGGTTGTGGAATATCACAAGTTACCTGTGGGGCAAAATAGCAAAATATCTGAATGTTTAGTGCTAGATATTAAGATTACTTTGGTTAATTTCTTGATCAATAAGGGAAAAATTTGGGGATAACTTTTTCTTGCCTTTTGAGATTGCCTCTCGATTTTTTTTTAGTCCTTTGTGTCATCTAATGTTCAGAAAACAATTATGATGGCGTGAGCATAAATCAGCCTTTTCCAAGATAATGCCTTTCAAATGATCTGGACTACAATTCTTAGTTGCAGTCCAATACACCTACAGGATGCCAGCCTTGAGGATTACTGGTTAGATTGTCCTTCTTCCATTTGAACCTACCTAAGTCTTAACACTGGGCGGGCGGGGGGAGCCTACTTCGATTTGTCATTAAAATATATCTGACAGAATTTCTTTTTGACAACACTGATTTTTGATATGATAGCTTAAAACTTGGATAGCAAGATGGACGACATATACATTTAATAAATATATAAATGAAAACAATTCTTTTTTAAATAATATGCACATATAATTACAATAAAATAAAAAGAATTATAAAATTTGGGAGCATCAAATCAGTATTTAAAGAAAGTGAGATAAATATATGTATTAAATATTGTATATGTATGTGTCCAAAAAGGGGAAGAACGTTTAACATTCTTCCAATTATCAGGCACAGATACAATCTTCTCATGTTAAAGATGCTGTACAGCTATTTCATAAATAGGCCAGATTCATATGTTAATATGTATACAGTTACATTATCTACAAACTCAGTCACTGTTAATATTTTATTCAATACTTAGAATGTAACTGATACGGAAGTGTAGTCCATGATGACATAACTTTAAGAAATATATGATACCTTGGACTAAACGTTTTGACAACTCCAAAAATATTACTCTTAAACATGTTGTTGGGATGGATGCCAATAATCTCTGGCAAGACAATATTTTTCTCATAGGAAGCAGTAATTAAACTAGTGTCAGTTTGTAAAAATAACTTTCCTGTATCATAAAAATAGATAGGGAGAAAGCACATTCTGCTAAATATTAATGCAAGTATGTTTCTACAGTCAGAGCAACTAAGATAATAATGCCAAATTGTTAGATATCAGTATGTCTTGAACTTGGCCCTACTTACTTTTACAAGTTTTTATCAGCTTAATTTTGGCTACAGTGCATTACCAAACACTCATTAACAAAATCAGTTAAAATCTAGGGTTGCATTTTATATAGTAAGCCTGTTTTAGCCTTAGTTACTTTTAACTTTAATATTAAATATTATGGCTTAGTTTGTTCTATGAACCAAGCCTGTTCAATTAGCTCGCAATTTGGTTTACTGAGAAAAGCTCTAGAAAATAAATTAAGGCAGTAACCAAATCAAGTATATGGATAAACCTAGCATATCAAATTCAAGATGAGAAGCGTTAATAAAATGCACTACAAGTATCCAACTGCTAATCAATTATTTCCTTTAAATACTGTAGCCTGTTTCCATAGAAACAATACAAAACCCCAAAGTGAAAAATTGGTCTTATATTATTGTTGCTACTGTTATACTTTTCTGCCTGATAAAATTCTCTCAGTAGTTTACAAAGGTGTTTAAACTGTTAATAACAATAACATTAACATCAAAAGCCATATGAAGCAAATATTATTAAAATATAATATGTCAGTGAAATGAAGAAACTTAAAATCAAAAACTAATTAAAACTGTTTGGAAGCAGCAGGGCAATGGCTTAGGTTAGCACTAAAGAAAGAGAAACAGGTGAGCTAATTTTGAAGGGGACATTTTTCCATAGGTATGGTCCCACTGTTAGAAAAATATACTTCCCCGTATCGTATCCACTAATTTCATATATAGTCCTTTAATGGAGGTAGCAGGATCTTGTGCACACTTTAAATGTAAAAATGAGTTCAAGCCTTGTTTCATAGAGAGCTTTCTGGGCTCCCAGCCAAGGGGTTGCTTATCTCCCTCCTTAGTTGTGGCAGACAGACAAGTCTGTGTCCATATATATTGTAGAGGCTTGGGACAGAACAATAGGCAACATAACTTAATTAATAAGAATGTTTCCTAATTTCACAAATGTATATTTGGAAAATTTCTTAGAACTAAGTTTTCTATTCATAAGCATTTGTATGGATCTCTTTTTTTAAAAAAGCATTTTGATTAGATTATAGAACAAGATACAAAAAATACGAAAGCAAATAATAGGACATAATGGGGAGAAAAAAGGGGAAAGAAAAATGAGGAGGGTGAGAAGGAAGAAAGTGTTGACTTCCGACTCTCTCTGTTGCAGTGTATTTGTATGGATCTCTTCAGCAACATGTACAGTATGCTATAAAATTCTATACATAGTTTACATTATATGTTATATTAGATTACTACTATTATATTAACACTGTTTTACTTGCACTAGCACTGTTACACTAGCAATTGATGATGTTACCTAGTTTGGGTAATGAAACATCTGCAAGTAAACAACCAAGCTCAGAGAGCACCAAGGACCCCTCATTTCAACCCTGACCTACAAATATTTTCCTTTATTGGTAATTTATGTTACCTTTGAAGCAAATACATACTTATTTTGACTGATGTGTAATAGTGTGGACTTTATGGTGAAGACTAGTATTAAATATTTAATTTCAGAGAAAAGAAATTAATGCAAACTATATTACCTAAACTTAACTTTTAAGTTAGCTTACATTTGTTAGCTTACATTTGTGCTATTTAATTGAGTAAAAGGCACAATCCATGTAACTGTTTAAATGTACATCAATCTTATACTGGTATTCCAATTACAGGTAGTCCTTGACCTACAACTACAATTGAGTCCCAAATTTGTTGCTAAGTGAGACAGTTGTTAAGTAAATTTTCCTGTTTTATGACTTTTCTTGCCAAGGTTGTTAATTGAATCACTGTAGTTGTTAAGTTAGTAACCCGTTAAGTGAATCTGGCTTCCCCCTTTGCTTGTCAGAAGATTGCAAAAGGTGTTCACATGATCCAGGGACACTGCAACCATTATAAATATGAACCAGTTGCCAAGGATCCATATTTTGACTACATGACCATGGGGATCAGAAGTGGGTTGCTGAGACCCGGTACGGTCATACTGGTAGTTGCCTGGAACAGCTGAGAGTGTAACAGTACGGTGGCTCTTTTGGCCTACCTGCCCACCCACGCTCTATACCTGTTTTAATGGCAAATGACAAAGTGCGCACGAGCACACAGTGTATGTTGCCTGCGTGAGCCCAACAATCAGCTGGTTGTCGCAGGGGCGGTGGATTGCGCACGAACACACAGCGCAAGTCAGCCGTGTACGCAAACAGAATGTGCGAGTGCGTGATCACTACTGGTAGTGACAGTAAGATCAACCCATGGGGATGCTGCAATGGTCATAAGTGGGGAAAATGATCATAAGTCACTTTTTTTCAGTGATGTTGTAACTTCAAACAGTCATTAAATGAACTGTTTTAAGTCAAGGACAATCTGGAGGAGGAGGAGTATAAATTGTATAAATAAGTTGTTCAACTCATTAATTGATATTTTAATCTAATTTTGCAGAAATATAGGTAAAATAAAGAATATTAACTCTTATACCCCAATATTATACTAATTGTTGAAAAAGCAATTTCACTAATGCAAGAATCATTGTGATTTCATTAAAAACGTCTTTAACAGTGTGGAAGTAAAATACATTCAAATACTAAAACATTTACTAGATAAATTAAGAATAGTGATATTATGTTCATAATTATATATTAAGATTTACTAATATATTAAAGAGTTGAGCAGTAGCATAATTAACACTATACCTTGATTTCTTCTATCTCATCTGGTACTATCTTGTATGCAGATACAGTTCCACCTAATCTGAAATTTGGAGAAGAAAATATTCTCAAAACCAGTAGTACATATGAAGAAATAAATATGTTAATATTAACAACAAAAACAATCTTTGTGATTAACATCTAGTATGAAACTTGGCTGGCCAAGGAATTATGCATAGCAGCAAGAGCATACAACATCTTGAAGAAAATAAGCGAGGCTTATATGTTACCAGATGTAGTGGTGTTTTTTCACAGAAAAGTTTAATGAGGATCTTACTACAATTAGGTTTGAAAAGTTGAATATATATTTGCTGAATTGCTTATTTGCATATTACAAATGTTTCTTTACCATTTTCTTTTTAACATGTGCAAGCAGCAGATGTTAATAAATAGTACAAGCAGCTTGAGTATTATTTAAGTCTTATGTGTGAAAATACATTGTTTGCCATTCCACTCTAACAATATCAAAAAAATGGATGCTCAACTGTAACCTATTAATAGTACTAATAATACTTGAGTAGAATTCAAATACCACTGAATGTCTTGAATGTCATGCCTTCTATTAAGAGGTCATCCATATTTACTCTATAGAAGATTCATATTCAGATTGTTATCTTCTGTACCTTCTTGGTCAAAATTAAAGTGACCAGATTTTAACATTGGTAAAGTAGGACACCATTGAGCGCGGGGGTGGTGGTGGTTCTTGATTACAAATTTGGGCAAAACCCAAAAGCCTCTTTCTTGACAGCGCTTTCAAGAAAGAGGCTTTTGGCCGCTCTGGCGGTATGTCTGAGACACACACACACACACACACACACACACACACACACACCAAAGAATCCCAGACAGAGAAACAAGCAGCTTCCCCTCCGTGGGCTTTGTTCTTAACCGACAACGGGCAAAGGGAATAGAGAGAGGCGGCGACAAGACTGTCTTTTGCGGGGAGAGCAGGAGCTTCGCCAACCGTGGAAAGGTGCCCCGCGGCTGGGATCCAAGGCACGCTTAACAAGGCAAGGAACTTGTGCGGACCCGTCAGGGCATGGGAACTGAGGAAAAGAATGGAGGGGAGGGGGGCGTGCAGAGAAGAAGAAGCATGCTGAG